CGCATATATATATATATATATATATATTATATACACGCGCGCGCACACGTATACATACACACACACACACACAAACTATATAAGTTAGTACACGCGTATAGTATCACACAAACATGTATATGATATTATGTGTATTCGTATAATATTGTACAGCGCCACTGCCGATTTAGGCATGAATGGTTTACAAGCAACGGCGGCGGCGGCGCAACCGGAGCGACTATATAATATATATATACGCTATGATTACTATTTATTATAAATTTATAAATGTACATAGGACACGATAATAGTAATAGCAATAGCAATAGCTGCAATAGCAATAGCAATTGAAATAGAACAGTACGGTCGCGAGAGAGCGCAACTGCGGCGGCGGCGGTGGTGGTATGAGCTGTGCTGCCCCGTCGTCGTCACCGCCGCCGCTGCCGCCACAAGTGTGGAATGTTCCCACGGATCCCATTGGTCCGGGCCCGCTCGGCCGTCGCGGTCCCTCTTTATTTCGTTTTACGTCTGATTTTTTTTTTCTTTACCCATTTTATTTTCCCCCTTGCGCCGCCCGATATCACACGCACACACGCGGCCACGTACACGTTCACGTAAACGCACATACGCACTAGTCGGCGCGAACGGTTTTTGCGCGCGCCGCCGCGGATCACGTTTTTCCGCCGCCAAACAGGGTCGTCGTCGTCGGGCACTCGCCACTCAGTCGTACGCGGTCGCCGCCCGCGTGTACTCGTGTGCAGTTCTCGTCGTCGTTCCGGTGTACCTGAATCCCGAAACTTCGCGCCCAACACAAGTCACAACTCGCGTCGTCCCGGGACGAGTAAAATCGCGCGACGACACCGATGAGCGCCGCACAGCAATAAAAGTTTAAAATAGTATTGTAAATTTGTCTCAAATTTTCAAAAAATCAATTTTGAAAGATTCTCACCCCCGTCGCGTACTGCAGCTATAAGTAGTCAGTTGTCTGCAGCACGCGCTTCTTGCGGGTCGTGTGCTATCGTCGRATTCGATCTGATACAATATTATAAGCTGTGCCCGTCAATCAATCTTTTTCATCCGTCCAAGTCACTCGAGTGCCAAACCAATATTGCAGTGCAGTTACGCTGCACCACCCTTCCCCCCAAAACACTTTACACTGGGCTGCTACAACCGCTGCTCTAGTTCTTCTTCCTATTCTGGACACCGGTGACAAGACTCGAGGTAACTCATAATGATATTTACTTAACCATACTTGTTATTRTTTTTATGTRCAYGATATTATTATTGTATACGAAGACTTCGACCGTCACGCCAAATCACCGAACGAAATGACGTGTAAAAGCTCATTTTTATCATTTCRCGTTGTTGTAGTTTGGTACCATATTATTTATATCTATAATAGGTGCATGTATCCAGCATTCGGAATAAATGAGTTCAAATATACTTATGTTCCAATTTACGGACGAAATTTTTTAAGTTTATATTTAAATTTTTTAGATTTTGTTCATATTTTAAAATTTCTAACAAATTTGAACTTTATTATGCTTGAATTTCATTGTGCTTCAAATCTTATACTAATATCCAATAGACTAATAGACAAATGAAAATACAAAAATATACTATGTATAAAATAACTATATTGAACATTATTTCAAGGTTCCCACTCCTTATTTTATTAAGAAAGATTTAAGCACCGCCAAAAATTCAGACGAATCTCCGCTTATAGTAGCTTGTAAATAATAAAAATGTATTATTAATTAGAATTAGAGCACTAGAATTCCGGATTAATTGTTTAGTTTTGTATGAGTATTAATAACTAATATTATAGTACCTAGTAGTAGGATAGGTTTATATGATAACACATATACGTATTGTAAATTTGTACGATATTATATTTCATTAAAATCAAGAAGGACGAAAATGTACAAGTTCATAAATTGAATGTTAAACGCCTGAATCACATTGCATTATTTATATACTCAAATACCTAGTCAAATGTATTGTTCACCAATAATTTAGGTTAAATATTATCATATAGGAGTCTATGAGATATTATTGTGTTTTGTACAAGATCTTAACTCGTATTTTTCCGCATCAGACCAAATCGGGGAATTTTTGGGATCTGATTAACGAACCTATGTGTTTATATATATATAAAATAATTTATTGAGTACTTCATCATGCTGTCCATTATTGTAACCGTTTTTTTGTTATTCGTTTTTTTAAACTACCTTTTCAAAAATACATGGGAATAGCTAGTGGGGGTGTGCGCAAATATTGTTATTAGTCACTACCCAATACCCATATTTATTATGTATATAGGTACCTGACGACGCAACGGGGGTCTAAATGTATCATATATATACTATAATATATAACAAATATATAACGCATAGTATTACGTTAAGTATTATAGTAGCTTTTATGTTGTATATTTTACTTGTATTATATTATATATGACATACACATATACGATGTAAACACTATACACGATAAAATATATGACTACGGTTGTTTTTAAAGATGGCCAATCACGTACCAAATCTTATGATTTTCAATATTTTCAAAATATTTTTAAAATTCCTTAAAATCTTTGTTACCTACCGTTTTATTTTTAAGCTTTATGGTGATATATGTCTTTATATAAGACCTATATATATTTATTCCAACACAAACGTTTAAAGTACCCATATTATATTTGTATAAACTTAAAAGTAAAAACTAAACAAGAGTTCGCTGTCTTAAACTAATCACTGCTGCAGACTGACACTAAATTGTTATAATTACACTCATTTATTTTATAACTTATAATTATAACCAATAAAAAAAAAAGTTTTGATTGAATTATTCCTCACAATGTTCAAACGGATTATCTAAACCAACATACCCGAAATAGGTAGGTACTATAATATAATATTATATTGTTTGATAATCATAAACGTGTATAATACCTTGTGTAAACAAGTGTCATAACTTAATGTACTTTTTAAATAATGCAGAAACATTTTTATTTATTGCCTATTTACCATGTATTCAATGTCATTGATTTAACTAAGAAGAAACATTTATGCGTAATTTAGTACATTGTACATAATATTATGTATATAGGTACCTAATAGAGTTTATGTACACTGTGCCCGTTATATATTGTTTTTAAATAGGGAGTCAAATGTTTCATAAGAGAAATAAGTACCTATAGATATAATTTATATAGGATTATCAAAACATAGAATACTTAATCATTAATAAACATTGTAAATGTTCAGCATACAATTTGTATTAATAATAAGACCGTTTAATGTATATAGAATGGATAATAATATATTCCTAACTATAGTTATAAATAAAAACATAAAATAACATTCTTCATAAGTGTATAATATGTAAACATTTTATAAACGTGAAAATTTTAAATTGTCAAATTTTATATAAAAAAAAAGCTTAAAATTATAAATAAATCTATTACCTATAATACGTTAAGCTGCATTAAGTGTTTAGTTTGTTACAATATTTTCTTTAAGCTAATTTTATCTAGACCGCATCACCATAGACATTGGCATACGTCTTAAAATTACTTTTTTACTAATATTAACTATTATTATATTTCTATATCAGTCTTATTATAATATAATAGGTATATKAATGTCTAAATATACACTACGTTGTTTCAATATTTATGTAATTTTAAATACTATTTATCTGCAGATATATTATTATGTAATTATCTATATTATATTGAACATCTAAATGATTGAGTATATAGTTTAGTGATACATATATTTTGTAGGATGTGTAACTAGGTACTGTATAGTGAATATGGTGTACCTACTTAAACCCAAGAATTAAATTTTTTTTATTAATTACCATATTATGGCTATTATGCTGTATTGATTGATGGGAGAATACTGTACTTAGGTACGTTCAATTTACATTCTAATGGATAAATTKTGACTCAAAAAAAGTATAAATTAGTTGTATGTGGCATATTTGAATGTGATAGGTTATGTACAATAACGAAAAATTTTTGTTAAAAATAAATCTCATGTAATATATTATAAACAGTAAACACATGAAGTAAAATAAATATTTATTATAAGTGAAGTATTTGGTCGATATTTTCAAAAAACTTTTATAAAAATTAAAAATTAGGTAAAAACTTATGTCAATAAAAACTATGTTATTGTCAAAAAAAAAAAATATTGCGTATATATCGCAAGTCATATTTATATAACTATAAAAATATGTTGTATTAAAGTTGTCGATCTTAATTACAAATTTGAAAAAAAGTTTTACAAATTAATACAAATCGTAAGTTGTAGTCTCCATGGTAACTTTCACTTTAAATCTATTGACCCAAATAATCTGTAAACTAAATTTATCTAAACGAATTTTTTTATCAGGGACATAACTATAGCTATTGTTACTTGATTGACATAATAGGCCACACAATTAATCATGATATTTTATTTTATTTTGTGTGAAGATACATCTTATTTTTTTTTTTTTAATTATTTAATATATTGTTTACAATAAATTAATATAGCTTATGATTTATGCTTTTTATCAAATATCAGTCAGAAAAAGTGTATTTCAATATATAAACGTTGAATCAAATAATTGGACATTTTTTAATTTAGCCCAATCGTTTGAATAAAAGTCAATGTAATCAGATTGATAAAAGTTGTAGCCTTGTAGRAGACTAATATTATTGAATGTAAATAAATGTTTTTGTTCTACATTTATAAAAAAAACTAAATATATAGGTATTATGTATCTAATAATAGAAATAGATAATAATCACACCTATAAAAAGATATTAAATAATATGTATGTACTTTAAATTTAATTTAAATAGAATATTATCTTAATCGTGTTATTATTTAACTACAACCCACGATTTTAAGCGTTATTATTATTTTACAAGAGTAGTTTGATATGATTAAAATGAATCGTTGACAACTTAAAACATACTTTTAAAGTATGTAGTTTAAAAAATATTTTGATGAAACACTATATTATCTTACTATACTAATATTAATTTAAATTTATTTTAGTAAAAAACAACAATAATGAAATAATAAGACACCTATAATACACAAAATCTGTACWAAATATTTTTTTTCATTGAAAAAATTGATACGTTTTAAAATTTTAAATATTGTTAGATTCACAACTTCAAGAGAATGAATATAAATAATATCTGTAATACTCCACAAATAAAGTATAAACATATATTTATGAATTATTGTAATGGGTACCACATGTTAACAAGAGAGTCATACGTGCTGAGGACTTGGCGAGATCATAAAATATTTGAACTAACAATGATTTCGGGGAAAAAAAATAATGAAAACTGGAATAAATTTGGAAGCCGTGTAAATATAGTATATTGTTTTTGTTTTCATCATCTATATAATATGTAWGTTACCTATATAATATTATACTAAGTCTTTTACTGTAGCATAATAGTATAAAGTATTGTTTAAATTATTATGGGGTCCATTTTTGTGCTCTTAAAAGGAGATTATCCCTTCAAGTGCGTGTAGGGTGTCCAATATATTAATTGAATATTCTACCCTCCCTATATCACATGTTATTATACACATTGTGCACCACATTTATTACTATTTCCATATCGTATATTCGTATATATTGTATTGAAAATCCCTATTGYTAAGGGAGATCCCATAGTATATATAGTGAGTAAGCAGAGAATAGGAAAAATATCGATTGAGTTGTTCAATAACATTAATTCGAATTATCAAAATCCATTGGACACTGCACCACCGTGCATCATTATCACTTTTGAGAGATCCCAGAGAGGGTGTTTGATTAGAAAATTAGTTTAAGGTTTTTTGTGTTTTAATAGAAGTTAAACAAAAGTGTAAAACATATTATATGTATGTATCAATACCTAATCTGGGAACATTGTCGAATTACGGCCAACATTGTTTTGTTCTCCAACGAGTTTTTTAACATAATATAAGAAATTATTCATTAATATTATACATTTAAAACAATGTTAAAAATAACWTTTGATTAGGTACCAATATACTAAATGCAAACTTATATTTAGCAAAGTTTTAATTATCTAATAAATTAAAATATTCTAAACTCTAATATATTTATAAATAACATGTGTAATTCAGTTAACACAACATAATCAATAAACAGTGTAGATACCTACTAGATACTTATATATTGCATTGTACAGTAATCATATTTACTGTATAATTTATTTATTTATTTTAAATTCAAATATATTTAATTGTTAAGTAGGCACGCAATTTAAGTGAATACATATATTAAATTAAGTACTGGAATAAATGAAAATATTAAATAAATTATTATTTTACATTAATACCTAAAAAGGAAATAATTAAATTAAAAAACCATAATTATGATGTGTATTCTGATTAGATACTTAATAGTCAATACTGCGGATGTTATAATTTCTATATTATTTTTAAAATAGTTGAAGCACATGTGAAAAAAAATATAAAAAAATAAATATGAATTTTTAAAGCTATTTTGTTTCAATATTTGAGTTTTAAAATGTACGATCAGTACCTACGTATTGCAGCWCTAGTAACAGATCCAGAAGATTACTACAGATGCACGTGCTTTTGTATCACTAGTTTAGACCACGAGGGTGGACGATAAAGCTATTTTTTTTTTACATATGTTTCTACAGTGCATTCTTATTTGCCTGTTATTGCGTCTTCTTTGAGTAGCACAAGTTCTTCAAAAACGTCACATAAATACATTGATCGAAAAATAAATACAGGTGGCATCTTATGAAAAAGCCATTCCTTAAATGTTTCTCAGTCTAAAAGAATAGCAAAAAACTATAAATAACATTGATATATTATTTTCTATACCTATATTTTATTAATAACTTGAAAAACAATATACATTTAAAAAAAAATATATTGAGCAAGGTAATTTATTATTTCCTAAATTAATATATATATTTTTTTTATTTATATTGTTCTACAARTTATTAATAAATGTGTTAATTTATAATTTTTCTAAGAAAAAATTATTTAATACCTAATACTATATTATTTTTAACCATAAATATAATTTTGTTTAAAAATATATAAGTCCTGATCTTTTTACTTGCTTTTAAAGAAATATTTTTTGTGTTTTTATTAGATTTATGGGAACTTGGACGCTAAAATCAGAGAAAGATGGTGATACGGACGATGGAGAAGTGGTTGGGTCTTTAAGCTGTTATAACTCCGCGGAACTTCTTGGAGTGCCAGCAAGGATGCCTCACCATTATGGTCCCGAAGCTCCCATGCAGTTTCGACCGGAACAACGTCTAACTAGAGATGCAATGGAGAGGTATCTGCGAGATCGCAATGATTTAGTATTAGTTATTCTCCATGCTAAAGTAGCTCAAAAATCTTACGGTAATGAAAAACGATTTTTTTGTCCACCCCCTTGCATATACTTGCTTGGTGATGGCTGGAGACTTCGGCAAGAACAACTGTTAAGAGAAGGAGTGTCTGAAGCTAATTCTCAGATGAGCGCATTCATTGGTATTGGAAGCACTGACCAAGAGTTACAACCACTTGACCTTAACAACGGAAAGCAATATTGTGCTGCTAAAACGTTATTCATCTCAGATTCGGACAAACGGAAACATTTTATGTTGATGGTTAGAATGTTTTATAATATTGGTTATGACATTGGTACATTCCATAGTAAACGAATAAAGGTTATATCAAAACCATCAAAGAAAAAACAATCGTTAAAAAATGCCGACTTATGTATCGCAAGTGGAACAAAAGTAGCGTTATTCAATAGGTTAAGATCACAAACAGTGAGCACACGATATTTGCACGTGGAAAAGGGTAACTTTCATGCTAGCTCGACGCAGTGGGGGGCATTTACTATCCATTTGTTAGATGATGATGAAAGTGAGAGTGAAGAATTCAATGTTAGAGATGGATATGTTCATTATGGCAGTACTATCAAGCTAGTCTGTAGTGTCACCGGTATGGCATTGCCTCGACTTATAATAAGGAAAGTTGATAAACAAATGGCACTTCTGGAAGCTGACGATCCAGTGTCACAACTTCATAAGTGTGCGTTTTACATGAAAGATACAGAGCATATGTATTTATGTTTATCCCAAGAGCGTATAATTCAGTTCCAAGCAACGCCTTGCCCCAAGGAACCCAATAAAGAGATGATTAACGATGGTGCCTGTTGGACGATTATAAGTACGGACAAAGCCGAGTATCAGTTTTATGAAGGCATGGGTCCCGTGAACTCGCCAATAACACCTGTTCCAGTCGTTCACAGTTTGAACCTGAACGGCGGTGGGGATGTGGCAATGTTAGAATTGACTGGAGAAAATTTCACACCTCACCTACAAGTATGGTTTGGTGATGTCGAATCGGAAACTATGTACCGCTGTCAGGAGAGTATGTTGGCCGTTGTACCAGATATATCGTCATTTAGGGGTGATTGGCTGTGGGTTAGACAGCCAACCCAAGTGCCAGTATCTCTAGTGAGGAACGATGGTATAATTTATGCCACAGGGTTGACATTTACATACACGCCAGAATCTGGACCAAGGAATCACATTCAACCCACAGACGACATAATGCGAGCGCCACATCCTCATAATAGGTTACAGCCAGCCATAAGCGACGTTCCATGGAACCAACATCCCAATATTAAAGATTATCAATGATGATGTGTAGTGTGATTTGGACCAAAAAAGAACTTTTATGGAGTATTGAAATGAATAAAAAATTTGCTAAAATGTATTGAAAACTATTTATTCATTTTCTTTGCATTTTATGCAGTACGGATAAATAATTATTAATCAACACACTAAAGATGGATACATTTTAGCTACACATAATTGTTCACATATTGGTTCCTTTTAGCAATTTTCTACGGTTGTTCTTGTTTAAGATTTTTTTCCGTCCATTTGATTGGTGAATATTTCTCGTTTAAGTCTAAAGATCGTAATTATTTTCATTCTATTGGACGCTACATCTGTTCTGTTATTATACGATTGTGCAATGTCATTAAGATACATTTAGATAGAACATTACTGCATATCCTGCGTATCTTATAGGTAAAGGTATTTGAAATTATAGATTTGTAAATTAGTGTGTGGAGCTCATTAAATATTTTCAATTTCAAAAGTGAATCAATTTCAATGCCTCATTCATCCCGGCCTTAGTTCCCGTTACGAACAGTTTTGATTTTAATGACTAACTGTGATTATCTATAGGCTTCTCACGAAATTACTAGGTAGTTACTGACGTAAATTAGTCTTGTCTTAAGACTCAAGAGTAAGAACAAGTTTGGTCATTAATTGAAGTTGTTAACAACTTTAAATTTTAAGTCAAATAAATTTTTTTAAACATATAATTATAAAACGATCAATACAATTAATCAAAAATAACTTTCGTATCTAAAAATTAATTATTTTACTTTTGGAATTCATGAACTTTTCAATTTACAGTTTTTATAAATTTAGTTTTAAGTATAGAAAAGCAAAATGCATATTCTAAGGTGCTTAAACTTATATATATATATCAATATCATGGCACAATGATATTATTTTGTTTTCAAATTCAAACAGTAGTTTTGATTTATATTGTATGAAACGAAATATTTTTTTTTTAGTAGTGCATTTTGTGTCATTATGGTTTTTGTAGTTAAGATGATACGTGATAGATATGGGTTATATAATAGTTTAAAAAACAGTAATATTATAATACCTGTACCTACACTGTGAATCAATGTTATTATATTTAGTTTTATAAGCCTGTGGTAAAAAAAATCTTAATTTAATCACATCGTAATTGCGGAATGATTTGTTTATTTCTTGAACAACATCACGTGGTAATCTATTATCTGCCTACTACAACATTTTGTACCGAAATGTTTTTTATTTTTATTTTAATTATTACTTCTTATATATGAATATATATATGATATGTATTATGTATGTATTAATAATTATTGCTGTACCTGTACTTGACTGATTTTTTTAAACAAAACGTAGTGTTTTTTTTTGTTTTTACTTTGACCTGTTGTAACTAAAACTCGGTTGATTTTAATTACTAGGTTTGCCACCATTCATGCCAAACACTTGATGATTATAATTTATTACTGTATAATAATATTTTATATAGTGTAACTATAAGACAGTAATGCCAAAGAAAATTTAGTTTGTAATGGTTGTGATCAATATTTTAGAGCATTTATTTTGTTATTCTTGTATAGCTTTCTTCCGTAGATATTTTCATGAGAAATCTGTCGTTTATAAAAATATATTATATTTAATATTGTATTTTATTTTCTTCGGTGGGTATATTTTGTTTGTGATTTATTAGGGCTGTTAAATATGTATTTATTTTTTCAATTCTTCTCTGTATGTTATTTGATAAACAACCACAGATGTAAATTTGTATTAGTTTCGAATATTTATTCAATTGTAAATACATGTAGGTAGTATTAATTGTTTTCTATGTTATAACTTACCATCTATAATTCACTGAATTACGCGTAAATAATATAAATAAGTTACCTACTTATTTATTACAATATGTACAATTACATTAAATATAATTTGTGTTTCGAAGAATGTTTGTTAAYRAATTTAGATACCTACATATTTTGTAATGATTATATTGAAATTAATTTTGTAAGCAATATAATGTTATCAGCTCTAATAAATAATTATCATTTTACATCGCCTTTGAATTATTATTCAAAAATATGTGAATTATATAACGTTTTAATATTCTATATATAAAAAATATACGTTTTTTTGGTACTCGTATAGGTAATATACACGTACGTTTATATACTATATATTTTTGAGTAAAAACTTAAAACATAATATTTCTCTATGTTATGAAAATGTTTGTCGGTTACGAACTTTATTGTTTTACACTATGACATTTTCAAGTTTTTCCTTATTGATTCCTATAAAATAATTAATAATAATAACATCCAATGGGTCTGCATTTTAATATTATACGATTTTTATAATGCATAACAGGTATCTATATTAATACTTTAAAACTGCCTGCGTAATGTATAAGGAGAGTGCTGTAAACGGCGTCGAATCGTTCACAATCAAGTCAGAACTGTTAAAAAAGAATATTTATTTTGGTGAAGTACCTACTTGTAATACTTATTATTACACATTTTTCTGGAACAAGGGCCACAAGCACTCGAATAGCGTAGTATATAATACGTAAGTGAAATTAGGCTTTATAATAATATAATATTCTATACAATATGTATAATGTATATATTATATAAATGGCTAAGAGGCCAGAAGTTGTATACTTGTATTTTACAGCACAACAATTTTAACATTTTCAATTATTTTAATTAAAAGATTTTCGTTTTTCAGTGATACAAATGATTTAAAAAATAAAATATATTATTGCTCAGGTATAGGTACATACATAAATGTCTACTTTTATGTCTTAACATTTTATACTACGTTCCTAATATTATTGCCTATTTAAAATTCAAATGGGACTTCCTATAAATGATAGTTACAATATATTTTTATTGTAGCATAATAGATACATAGTTTTTATGTCATATATTAAACATTTTAATTTTAATAACAACTCTATAAATAATTAACTGAACTGTTTTTGGAAAACGTATCAAGTCTGAAYTATTTATATTAATATATAGGACAAGATAAAATATTTATCGTATTATCATCTTATTAATTTTAGACTTGTAATAAATGTGCACCAAAAAAAAGCAATGTTGCGCTAAAACACAAAAATTTAAATATCAAAAAAATATTTTAATTATGATTTAGATTTTTAATATCTTTGTCGAATGAAAAGACTATTGAGTGGCTAGAATAACCCAATATGGACTTATAAAACGATTTTGAGAAAAATTGAACATTCAACGATTCAACTTTGGTCTCTTAGCCATCCAATTATATTCAAAAATCATTGATGATATTATTGATAATGTTAAATAATAATATATTATATGGGTATAATAGTGTCCTATTATATATTGTTTATATAAAATTCTAAATAATAAATGTTAAAGCGTGTATAATGTTTCGGATAACTGGGGGGAAAAACACTAATAATTATACATTCTGGTCACGATGAGATGTTCAGGTTCAATAATTATATGATTATTGTGACATTATATAATGAACGTGATTTGATTTGAAAAACTTACCCGCTATACTGTACAAGCAGAAATAGGAACCAGCTTGTCTAAGACTGTAGCACACCCGTAGCGAACAGCGATATTACATAAGTGGCCAAGTGGATATACCTATACTACCCAGGTACCTCTTACAATATATAAGTACCTAGCTGACATGCAATCATTAATCTAACACACACACGCACACACGCACCGATAAGGTTTTTCATCCACCGCATACATAAATATTTGAATTATTATAATAKRTACATACTAAAACTATTATTTGAACTGTTCGAAAACACACATATTTATACCTCCATTATAACATACGCGCGAACTTMTCGTTATAATATTAWGGTTTATACTTCATAACRATTATTATTCGCGGTCTTGCGTAATTGGCGCGTGTATTATACCTACCCATGTTATACCTATCATAGTATTATTATTATTATTAATATTATTTTAAATTCAATTCAATTATTATATTGTGTTGGAGAAGGTTGCACATAATATATAATATAATAAAATATATGATACAGTGCTGTATCGCCGTCGTACGACGTATAAGTACGATTATAATACATTATTGTAATATTRTAAATAAATGCATTTTCAAAATGATCGTAGAGAAACATCGGTATTTTATATTATASMTGATGATGCCGAGGTTTGAAGAATCCATAATMGGAAAATTATATTTATTTATACCATCGCATTATATTATTGTATCGAAGAATGGTATTAACTATATAATGTGAATAATAATATAATATTTTAATTTTTAATACGTTCTATTTTGCGACAAAAATTACCAATGAACTGGCACGCTCTATCGACATGAATATCGAATACAATATACAATATAGTAATAATTGGTATATTATAATATATTACTCGTATTATTGTTTATTATTTAAATTAGGTATGATATACAACTACTTTTATATCCGCATAAATGTGATTTTCCAGTGTTCTCCGTATATATAATATATACTTGTGGACTGTGACTTGTGTGAAGGTAAACATATTGGTATTTTTTTTTTTTTGCTCTTGTTATAATATTATTATAAACGGTATAGGTAAATACATATTGTTTTATGTTTTATATTACTGTATTTATAAGTGTAAAAATATAAATTTATCATTAAAATGTGGGTTGATATAGGAGGTAGGAGCATTGACGTAGCTGTGTGCAGAAGTTAAATAATATTATATACCTACTTCTTTATTAAAAACTAATTTATATATATATATATTATTTTATTACGATATTACAGAAAAACAATTTATTTTTATTTTTTGGTTTTATGGACACTAATGTTTAATAAGTAGTTCAAAATTTCTATAAACGGTTGAACTTCCTTAACACGAAGGGACGGTGACTACTTAACTACTATTTATTTTATTTTCATATGTATGTGGAATAATCGTKGATGGAACTGGTAAGTCACTGGAATACTTTTAATCATTCTAAATAACTGGAGACGTTTTGAGTGAAATTTGTATCGTAATTGTAGAATAACTGCTCGAAAAAATGATACCTACGTTGTGAAATTATATCATAACATAGGTATTATACTATTATTATAGAGTATAGGCTTGTATGACTAATATGCTTAAGTTTATTAAAACAGCCAGTGAAAATAGTCAATGATCACCATTCGAGGACGATGTTTAATCGATAAAATCGCCGTTGTAGTACGTATACGATGGGTAGGTTAATATATTGACGTGATGCATTTTTAATGGGTAGCGGCTAGCTGTAAAGTGTATTTTGAATGAACGCGTTGTCAAAATAATAATATTTATTGTTCTACTCGAAAAAGTAGGTACCTACACAATCTGACGGATTCAAAAAAAAACATCACCATGAAGAATTTATGTCGTTTTCCGAATTTCGAGAGTTATACTCGCGGGTGATGTTTGATGTTTATATTTTTTTACCACTCGCCGTCAGTCTCTGATGTGAAAAATGGTAGGTACATCGTATGTTAAATTTTAAGTCTACGGCTGCGATGTCCGTTGTAAGAATTGTCCATGAAAATCCGTAAAGTATATGTGAAGTTGCAGTATGTATTAATTAAGCATTTCAACGCATATGAATTATTATTTTAAGTATAGAAAACTTAAAGACSTAATCAGGTATAGYAAGTAGATAATAATGAAAAAAAAATTAACGTATACCAAAAGGAAATGATATAATTTAATGGAAATAGATTCAATAAATACAAATCTATGACATTTTCATTTCGTAACAACATTGCAGGATACGCGCGCACAGAACGTGTAATTAATGCAACTGATAATAGGTATATTATGATGGAATAATGTGGGATTTCGTAACTTGTAAATTAATATTATTTGTTAATAGCTATAATAATAATAAAGTTTTTTAAAAATATTTTATAAGAACATTTTTAAATAAGTGCATGTTAAAATCTAATTATTTTTTTTTATTGTATTTATTTTAATAATATGTGATGTATAAACTATAAATTACTATAATTTACCTAACGAAAATATTGATATTTAAAAAAATTGTAAAA